CGGCCGTGTCGCGTGATTCCCGGTCCATGCCGTCGCCGGTACCAGTCCCTAGTCTCAGTTGAGAACCAGCCGTAGCCGCCGGAGCCGACCGGTTCGTCGGAGGAGGGCAAAACACCTCGGTTTTTGGCACACGCATCAACTGTTTGACGAAATGCCTCAGTGAGGCTGGTTTCTTTTTGGTCGCCGGCCGGCGAACAGGTGGCCGGACGGTGAGTCCAGGTAAGTGGTGAAGCTCGGCGTTCAACCAGGAAGCAGGCTTGGGGGCGGTACCGGTCTGGGTCGGCCGGCGGACGGCCATTTTTGGCTCCGCCAGCGCCTCTCTGCGGGTCTGTATGTTCGGGTCGGATTCGACCCGAATCAACAGATCCGACCCGGGTCAACGCCCAGGTCGGATCCGTTGATCCGGGTCGGTTCCGACCCGGCCCGGATCCACAACCCGACCCGGTTTAATATTATATTAATATAAATATTTTATTTTATTTTTAAAAAAAAAAATTTAAAAAAAAATTTAAAAATTTTTTTTCTTTTTTTTTCCTTCTGTACTATATATATATTTCGAAAAAAAAATTTCAAAATTTTTAAAAAAAAAAAAATTTTATTGTGTGATATATTCTAAATGTTTAATTTATTGTAGTATTATTGTGCATATTTTTGTCTTGTTTAAATTAGACAAGCCTGAGATTGCGCGATAATATTTTCCATGTTATTTTTATTATCGCTGTATTATTATGCATGTTTTTAATACAATCGCATGAGTTGTGTTTTGAATGTCATCTGACTTAGTTAAGGTTAGAACCTTAGGCTGCATGAATTGTTGTGTTCCTGACTGCTGATCGTTTCTGATTATGCACTCGCTTGATCACCTCACATGTTAGGAGAAAGGTCCTAAAATCAACCCAAATTGCCTGACAAATGTTTTCAAAAATGAACAGGGTAAAAAGGTACCGAAAGGGCATTAGTTATCCAACTAGTGTAACCAAGTCCCCAAATTCAGTTAATCTCTGGTTCGTAGAAATAGGGTGATTCTCCCATCACCTTATTTGGGTTTCTAATCGACCTACCACAAATCGATTAGTGGCGACTCCTTAGTATAAACCACTTGCATGTTAAATACTTAAACCCTAAGTCGCGATATGGTATGGGCTTGGGAGGGCCCGAGTTAAGTCCTGAACCTAGACTTAGCACGTACCAAGCGAGCCCCCCTTTTTTGCATGTTCGATAAAAAAGGGCTCGGGAGTTCGGTCGCGACAATCTCCTTCATTGATGATTACTCACGTTACATGTATCTCTACTTGCTTCATAATAAACATGAAGCGTTGGATGCCTTTAAGGTTTTTAAGGCGGAAGTAGAGAAACAATGCGGCAAGCAAATTAAGATCGTGAGATCAGATAGAGGTGGAGAATTTTATGGTAGATATACTGAAGATGGACAAGCACTTGGTCCGTTTGCAAAGTTTCTTCAAGAGAATGGGATAGTTGCCCAATACACTATGCCAGGTTCTCCGGACCAAAATGGCGTAGCAGAAAGAAGAAACCGAACTTTATTGGACATGGTGCGGAGTATGCTTAGTAGCTCCAAACTTCCTAAGTCCTTGTGGACTGAAGCTCTTAAGACGGCAGTGTACATATTAAATCGAGTTCCAACCAAGGCTATCCCAAAGACACCTTTTGAGTTATTCAAAGATTGGAAACCAAGTTTGAGACATGTACGCGTTTGGGGATGCCCGTCTGAAGTAAGAATCTATAATCCACAGGAAAGGAAGTTGGACCCAAGGACTGTAAGTGGGTATTTCATTGGATATGCTGAAAAGTCCAAGGGATACAGGTTTTATTGTCCATCTCGCACTACTAGGATTGTGGAATCAAGAAATGCTAAGTTTCTTGAAAGTGACTTGATTAGTTGGAGTGATCGATTGAAGGACATTGTTTCTGAGAAAGATCATTCAGATACTCAACCTTTCACTTCAAGTACTAGGTTGGTTGTTGTTCATAACGCCCCTTCAGTTCAGCCGGCTATTGAACGACCAACTATTGAAATTCCACAACTTGCTGATAATGATCCGATAGATCCAGTTGTTCAACAATTACCAGAAGCTGTTGAACAACCAGTTGAACAACACGCTCCTCCAGAGAATGTTGATACAACATTAAGAAGATCTACTAGAATGAGGAAATCAGCAATTCCTAGTGATTATATTGTGTATCTACAAGAGTCTGACTACAATATTGGAGCTGAGAATGATCCTGAAACGTTTTCACAAGCCATGAGTAGTGATGAATCCAATTTGTGGTACAATGCCATGAAGGATGAAATGAGTTCTATGGCATCAAACGAAGTCTAGGATTTGGTTGAGTTGCCTAATGGTGCAAAAGCCATTGGTTGTAAATGGGTCTTCAAAACTAAGAAGGACTCGTTGGGCAACATTGAGAGATATAAAGCTAGACTCGTTGCCAAAGGATTCACTCAAAAAGAAGGAATCGATTACACGGAGACCTTTTCTCCTGTATCTAAGAAAGATTCTCTTCGTATTGTTCTGGCTTTGGTTGCCCATTTTGATATGGAATTACATCAAATGGATGTGAAAACGGCATTCCTCAATGGGGAACTAGAGGAAGAGGTTTACATGAAACAACCTGAAGGATTCTCCTCTAGTAAAGGTGAGCATTTGGTGTGCAAGCTTAAGAAATCTATATATGGCTTGAAACAAGCATCCCGCCAATGGTACTTAAGGTTCCATGATGTCATCTCTTCATTCGGCTTTGTAGAGAATATCATGGATCAATGCATATACCAGAAGGTCAGTGGGAGCAAAATTTGTTTTCTTGTGCTGTATGTGGATGATATTCTACTTGCAACCAATGATAAGGGGTTGTTGCATGAGGTGAAACAATTCCTCTCTAAGAGTTTTGACATGAAGGATATGGGTGAGGCATCTTATGTCATTGGCATTAAGATCCATAGAGATAGAACTCGAGGAATTTTAGGACTATCTCAAGAAACCTATATCAATAAGGTCTTGGAGAGATTTCGGATGAAAGATTGTTCACCAAGTGTAGCGCCCATTGTGAAGGGTGATAGGTTCAATTTGAACCAGTGCCCGAAGAACGATCTAGAAAGGGAACAAATGAAGAACATCCCATATGCTTCTGCTGTCGGAAGCTTGATGTATGCTTAGGTTTGCACTCGACCTAACATCGCTTTTGCTGTGGGAATGTTGGGAAGATATCAGAGTAATCCAGGGATAGACCACTGGAAAGCTGCAAAGAAAGTGATGAGATACCTTCAAGGTACTAAAGGTTACATGCTTATGTATAGACGGACTAACAACTTGGAAATAGTTGGTTATTTGGATGCGGATTACGCTGGTTGCGTTGATTCTCTAAAATCAACATCAGGATACATTTTTATGTTAGCTGGCGGAGCCGTGTCATGGAGGAGTGCGAAGCAGACTTTGACTGCTACTTCCACTATGGAGGCTGAGTTCGTTTCTTGTTTTGAGGCTACCTCGCATGGTGTATGGTTGAAGAGTTTCATTTCAGGGCTTAGAATTGTTGATTCTATTTCTAGGCCATTAAGAATATATTGTGACAATTCAGCTGCGGTTTTTACGGCTAAAAATGCTAGAAGTGGCAGTCGAAGTAAGCACATCGACATTAAGTATTTAGCCATAAAGGAACGTGTTAAGGAGAATAAAGTGGTCATTGAACACGTTCGCACTGAATTGATGATTGCTGATCCTTTAACTAAAGGCATGCCACCAATGAAGTATAAGGATCATGTGGCCAGTATGGGAATAGTTCCCATGATGTGATTTATCGTCGTATGGACGACTTTTGTTGTTTGAAACTCTTATTCAATTGTAATGTTATTCTCAATTTCTGGTGTACACATTCAGTTGTTTATGATAATAACAATTGTCCTTGGTTTTGGAATAAACATAGGGTTTATTCATTAAGATGTGTTGTCACGTATGGGTTAACATTAAAAGAATAAGATGCATTGTGATACATGGAAGATATTACTCGCTCTTAGAGGACGTGTCGCCATGATTCATGTGTCTTGTTTCTTTTCTTAAGCATATGGTTTTCGTGGATTTGGTTGGGTAATCTGTATGATGAAAATGTTGGGATCAAGTGGGAGAATGTTATATTTATAATGTGATCCCACATTTAGGGATATAGTTTTTGAAATAAAAACTTATCCATTGGGTTTGACCCACGTTTTCTCTTTTAAGTGACGGTTATCCACATACGGTTTTTCCACTGTTCGTACCCCTTCGGTGACAACCGCCCTCTTCGGTAATCGCCTTGATGGGAAGCGGTTTATAAAGATGAACGTTCATTCTATAAGGGTAGACACAAGGTCTAACGCAAACCCTCTCATTCGGTAATACACCATCAGTACGCGAGAGAATTGGGTTAGTAGAGTGCGCCTGTAATCGCTCTCAAATTAACGTCGAACTACCGTGGATTTCCAACGAACGTAAAGTTGAACAATGGCCGGAGGTAAGTTTATTTTCGATCCTGTTTTCCGCATTTGATTCTAATTGTGCTTGAATTTTTTTATTCTATGCATGATTAGAATCCTTCAGTTTTAATCTAACATAAATCTGACGAGACGCAACAGACAGAAGTATCTTTTTTTCGATAATCCACGGTAAGTTTTCTTGTATCGACGGTTGGTTGGTTAGCAATTTGTCATGTTCTTAGTTAATTTGTCCAATCTCCACAAAGTAGGCTTACATATCAAAAGATTACTCAGAAAACGCAATCAGCAACTCCCTTTTTAGTAGAACAAGTTATTTCACATTGTTCTTCCATGGAATACACAATACAAGCACCAGGACAGTAGGAGCCGGTACTGACTTCATGTTCAAACAAGTCATGGGGTACATGATACAAGCATACAGTCGGTAGGATTTGAACAAGTGACCTCTAGTTTGTGAACTAGAAATCACTTGATTCCTATCCCAGCAGCGCCAACCCTGAGTGTTGACCAATCACAGTGGATCGAGGATGATCTGTTCATCAAGGAAAGCTTTAACAATGCCGACATCTTCAGGCGAACCGAAACCATCGTCCACCCGGTAGAAGAAATGGAACACGGTGCTCAAATTCCAAAACAAGTCCTTGCAAGCTCTTGGAATTATGCTCTCCTTCTCTTGCAGTACCAACTTTAAGAGTTTTCTCCTCTCACCAGCTGCCATCTGGTTGAGCCTCTCGATGACCTCTTCTTGACTGGTGTCGCTCCCGTCAAGCATCTGCACCGTCACAGCGGTCAGCTTCCCTTCCTCGGATTCCCTCTGCATAGCAAATGGGAAACCCAAAAAACATTTCAGATCAATCATAAAGCCAGTTGAGTTAAAACAAAAGAGGCTGTAAATTCCTGTCTCACCTTGGCACCCCGTGCGTCGTTCATAAGACGCCCACAAGTACATAATGCACTGAACAAATCGTGGAACTCAAGGCTTTCGACCTGCTTCTCTGAAAGTTTCGGTCCAACAAAGTAGAGTGCCGGGAGAATGATAGGCCCCAAAGCAAATGATACGAATGCGTTGGCCATGTACTCATCCATAGTTGGCACTGCCTTGGTTCTTCTCCACTTTGCCTCGGTCCACATCGACTCAAGCAAATCTAACCACTGCAATGAAGATTAAGCTAGGTACGGATGACAAATCTAGAAAAGAGAAGCGACATTTAATTGAAATGGCATTTCTCCTAGATAAATACAGATTCATTCAGATCAAACATATGAGACATCTTAGGACAACCATGAGGAGGCAGAGATGATCAAGAGAAGTGATCTCACTATCTGAAACACATGACCCGTCACGTCTCTTCCTTGCCATGCAACCGCTTTGTAGCCGGTCTCCGAAATAGTGGAGTGAAGTGCTGAAAATATGATTTGAACTTCCACGGAATGGCAGTTGGCACTCGCGTCCACGTCCCACCTGCATCAAACCATCCCTATTCAGAAAATAAAGTCAACGCATGCTCACTCGCTCGCTCACAAAAAAAAAAAAAAAGCAGAACTTACTTTTTAAACAACTGTACTAGATTTTCTAGCTCCTCTGCGGAACCAACAAAATCAAAAAAGTCATCGACCACCGCCGTGAGCAGAGCATGTTTGGCCCAGCAAAGGCGTGCATCTGATAGTTGAGGGGGCAACATGGTTGCTGCAGAAGAGAAGTAACAATATGCCCACTTATATTGGGCAAATTTCAGCTTGTCCAACTTTTTCTCTTTAATCCATCTGCCGGACAGCAAAACAAAACTATCATTCTGAAAGAAAATATTTAAAGACGGATGATCCTAGTGGATTTAGATCATAGCTCTCTTAAACATTGTCTCTCGTGCAAAAAGCTCTCGTTATATAACATAAAATTAACGGTCAGGGCAATGTTTAAAGCCATATAAAATGAGCCTCTAGTTAACTCTCAGATTATATCTGAAAGATTCAGGTCAAGGTCGATTTTTGCTCCAACAAAAAAGATCAAATCCCGTAAAAGTAGCACTTTCCACATCACCATGATGGATCCAGAGAGCGATCTATATACACCTTTTCATATACTTGAATTCTTCTTGGCATATTGCTTGACACATATTGAATTCGTCCACTGCCAGATTCAGAAAATCTTTGTTGTGGAAGTTATTGGAACTAGCGTTGGAGACAAGCAACACATCAGTGGAGTATTAGAGTCAATGGAACGTCAATAATCTAAACCAGACACCAGCAAATAAGGGGGCTGTACCGGAGTCCGCATTTTAGAATCCTCGTAGGGTCCGTGTTGTAGAGCTCTATATTTCTCTTGTTTGCTACCCTTGTCATGTTTGCTTCAGGAGGAACTCTGAGAGCATCATCCACCTGAAATGATTGCTAATACATTTCTCTTAGGGAATTGACGACAACAAAAAATCATGGCAAGAACAAGATAGCGACACCGGTAATCGTTCTTGGTACAATAATATGGAGAAAACCTCGACCAGAAAATCTACCTCTCGACGCATATCATCCTCGAGTCTATCAGCATGCATTTCACCAGCGAGTAATCCCTTTCTAAGAAAATCACTGGTCCAAGAGTTTATCTTTTCCAGTATAATCTCATTATCATTAATGATCAGCTCTGAAGCCCTGTACAACTCCAAGACAGAGCCAGCATCCTTCACACATCCTTCAAGTGTATTGCAGAACTGATCCTCTTCAGCAAATTGAGTTAATGCATCTATCCATACGAAAATAATAATAATAATTACAATTATAATAATGACTTTCCATCGATCAATAGCACAACTAAATGTGTTACCTGAAGAGACATCGTATCCATGGGATCGCAGTATCCGAAATCCCATTGCTGAGGTGGCGATGTGCAGAAATATCTCTTCTTCCCCCTGCAGCCAGCATCTGTGTTGTCCAATGCCACAAGATGAGAAGCTCATGCTTTGTTTTTTTGGCACGTATGAAGAAATTGAATGCAGCAAAGAGGGTCTGCACTCAAGAAAAACGGGTACCTGTACGTGTCGTCCAATACGTGATCTATTTCCTCTCTAAAATGATGATGGATGCCTAATCTTTTCAAATTATCGACCATGCATAGACGAGCATATTTGTCCAAAGGGTAGACCGTTGGGACTGGCCAAAAGTACATGCATCAATGTTAATAGATATCCCAGGGGCCAGAGTAGCCAACTCATTTGAAGACTTAAGGCGATGGAAGTAACCTGCATCGCCGAATTTCTCTAGTACAGATTCGAGGTAGCGAAGGCAACCGCTGTTTTGAAGGTGAGCTAGAGCAGCAGCTGTGGTCGACGGCGAATTGAACAGGGACCCGTTTTTCCGTTGATGCTTCATAATCATTTCCCAGTCCGCTAGACTCCCCATTCCTTCCGAAACATAAGACAAGAAGATTCCGCTTCCCCCTGATAAGCCTCTAAGAACACCGAAAGCACCAGAGGATTCATTGATGCTGCTGATCATTAAGTTCGTATTACCACAACTCTCACTGAAGCTTACAGTTGTGTGCAAGTGCAAATAAATAGTTTTCTTGGACTTTTTCCTAATATCAAATATGGTTCCTGAGTTTTCTTTTTCGATGTCGTTCCTGACTTTTTTAAATTTGTTACTATGATTGTTCCGTTAAAGATTGGACGAAATTTGCTGATATGATCGTTAAAGTTACAGATTTGTCTCTCTTTTTTTTGTTTAATTTCGTTCTTGAACTTGGATTGTTTGTTCAATTTCATCCATAAACTATTATATTTTGGTTCTTCCTTTGAGCATGGTGAGGGTCATCAAATATTCTACAAGATAAACCTCGATTACCCTTACCTAAAACTAGTAATTATCAACACAAATCATTGTTCAATAACTTAATGTTAATGAATAATAAATATTCCAGGTATGGACTAGCCCTTTTATCTATTTACGACGCATTTGGACTCGTTAATTAAGCAGTTTAAACTGTTCCTTGTCTTAAGATCGCATGTTTACTTATATTTATAAATTATTACGACATGTAAACACAGGCATTTTCACATTGAAGAATTCACATATTAAATGTTTTGTGTTGTCTTTCTATTTAATTAACGTCTTACTTTTTGGAGTTTAATGTTGTCACATAGTTAATAAACATTGTGTTGGGATTAAATTTAAATTTGACATGGTGCAATCAAAAGAGAATAAAAGAATAATTTAAGAACTAAATTGAACAGATAAACAACGTAAGGGAATGAAATTGAACCAAAATAATGATAACTCATAAATTAAACAAAATATTCTCTCCTTGTTAGTTTATGCTGTCAATGATTTTAACGGAAAAACCACGTTGGCCAATTCAGTCCTTTTAAATAGTACACCAATACAAAAATGAGCCATCCCCGTGAAAAATTGGAAACAATTATTCAAAAAGTCATAAATCTATTGCACTTTAACCAATTCAGTCATAAACCTTTCAATTTTGCTAGTTAAGTCATAAACTTTTAAAACTTTTTCAATTAAGTCCATCTAGCTAATTTTGGCTAGAAATTGCTGATGTTGACGTTAATTGTTTTACGTGGTACTGCCGTCGCTGACATGAACAATTTTTGTGATTTTTTTTAAAATTTTGAATTTTTAAAATTTTTCTTTTCCTTTTTTTTCTATGTCGGCAAGGGTCACCGGCGACCCTCGCCGATCGCAAAGGCCTCCCCCAAATTAGGCGAGGGCTGCCTCGGCCGCTACCGGTGACGCCGTGAAGGCCCTGAGCAAGGTCATTGCGGCCTCGCCGATGGCCACAAGCGAAGGCCGTCGCCAGATCTAGGCAAGGGCCTTTGCGGCTGGCAGCCATAGGCAAAGGCCTTCACAACCCCACCGGCCACAGGCGAGGGTACAAAGGCCGTTGCCAGATCTAGGTGAGGGCCTTCACGGCCTCGCCAACCACAGTCGAGGTAATTCTCGCCCAGATCTAATAAGGGCCTTCATGCCTTCGCCCGTGACCGACGAGGACATGAAGGCCCTTGCCAGATCTGGGCGAGGGCCGCCTCACTCGCAGCCAATGAGAGTCACTAGTGACCCTCACTGACACAGAGAAAAGAGGCAAAGAAAAAAGAAAAATAAAAAAAAATTCAAAAATATATATAAAATTATAAAAATTGTTCACGTCGGTTGTGCCACATGGGATGACCAGCGTTTACGTCGGCGATTTCCGACCAAAATTGACTGGATGGACTCAATTGACAAATTGTCAAAAGGTTTAGAACACAATTGCTAAAATTGAAAAGTTTATAACTGAATTAGTCAAAGTGCAATAGGTTTATAACTTTTTAGACAATTTTCCCGCAGAAAATTACTTATTATTACGCTTTGGCCACGTGGTCGAATCGAAAGAGAACTGAAGCAGGGAAGTTCGACACTATCTAACTACCTCTTCCATTGCAAATCTCTCCTGTAATACACGGAATCCACATCTGCAGGTCTCAGGGGAAGGTTCAAATTTAGGCGACCAGCCTGCTCGATCATACCAGAGAACAAGATATCGAATCCGGTCTGTGTGTGTTGCCTTTCATCGGTGATAGAAGCAGAATTCGAAGCGACGTACTCAAGGCCTGCGGTCACAATTTATCGTCCTTACTAACCGGTGCAACTGTAGATAGATGGGCAAGAAAAATCTGACTTACCACGGTTGATCTGCCTTTCGCCAACACCCCATTGCTTAAGTGCAAGAACACATGCTAAGGTCGACAACAAAGCGTCCTTGATCAACAACGGATGACGGTCCAAGAGACCCCAAGAACCGTCGCGTAATTGATTGTTCAGTAGCCAACTCAAGGACCTTGGAAAACGGGGGCTCTCTGGAAAACCAAGCGAAGGGACCCTAGCCACCCAAGCAGTGTCATACGCAGAGACGGAGAGTTCGACCTTGTTAAACATTTCTCTTATGCGTTCTTTACTCACTTCGGACAACTGCAAGAGCAAAACAGACATTTTCCTCTGCATCGTCAACTTGATATCACATTAAGGAGAGACATAAACCATATAGCAAGATCATTGTACCGCAATGGCAACCCGTGATGATGGCGATTGTTTAACTGGTTTCGTTTCAAAGTCCAAAGACAGCTCCTGGCAAAACGAAAAAAGACTGAATGAAAGAGTAAATGGATGAAGGACCCGACAATCAAGCAAAGAATGTGTGTGCAGGCATGAGAGAGAGAGAGAGAGAGAGAGAGAGAGAACCTGGTATAGAAGGAGCAAACAACCCAAGATTGTTGGAATGCGAGAGTGACATGGTGGAATATAGTAACAGAATGAACAGCAGCGACTTGTATCAATTACTTCAATGTCAAAAGATGAAGCCTAAAGGATTTATCTGTGCGCAGAGAGAGAGAGAGAGAGAGAGAGAGAGCCTGTGAGATTGCTGGAATATGAGGACAGGGAGAAGCTGAGAAGCAACACGACAACGACGTGGTTAAACTTTAAGACGCCATGCATCTAGACAGGCTATTTATAAGCCGCTTTTTCTTATATTCATTAATTGATTCATGCACCGTGAGTTCCATGCCGTTTCATAAACATTGGATTGGCATTTAAGCTGTTTGGTACAGTTCGCACATCATCTTCGGCCGTGAGAAGGGTGCTGCGACTTTTAAAAGTGCTCGATAAACATCTCAACGGCTGCAACACTCAAAAGTTATAGTAACATTTAAGAAACTGTCTCACCCAAAATTTGAGGTATTGTAACCTTAAAAATTGTCAATCACTGAGGTTTGTCCTAGTGGCCACCCTTCCTATTTAGAAAAGGGAGAAGTAGGAAGTTCGGTTCTCTACTTTCCAAGGAGGCTAGGAACGGGGACGTTTAGTTTCAGACGTGGGTTTCGACTTTCATACTCTGCAAAAGTCTGAGAGTGAGTTGAAAGTTAGAGTATGACAAACCCAAAAAAAAACCTTAAAACATGTCATATAACTTTAAGTTCTTCGTTGCACAGCCTTACGGCAGTTTAGCTACAACTCTACTTTCTAAAGTAAAGAAGCTTTTTGACTAAAAAAACACAGTAAGGAAGCTAAACGTGGAAGACCCGAAGATTAGTTGAATTCTCATATTAAAAACATTGCCGTGAGGCGATCTCAACAAGCTCGCCAAGGTCGTTGGAGGTTGCTTGGGCCTCTATGCGTGTGCGTGCGCGCACTCATGAGAGAGAGAAGGGATTGCATGAAGGAGACGAGTGACATAGAGTAGACCGAATTAAACAAGGGTAGTGGCGCCCGATTAAGCTCGCGTGGCGGAGGCAACTTCGCTGATGATGGGGATGATGTCGGAGGCGGCTCGGACTTCAGCAGCGAAGGCCGATGGTGGCGGGTGAGGGAGGAGATACGGATTTGTGGGTGAGCGGGTGTGTTAAAATGTGGTTGATTTAGGGTATTGGTGTTTTTCAAGTAGGGGTAGTTTTGTCGTTCAAAGTGCCTAGGATGCAAAGATGCATTAGACGACGCAAAGTGATAATAGAGCGAAAAGTGAAAAAAAAAATATTTGATATTTTCCCTCACTGTAATTTAGATGATGGGCAAGTAGTCGATGAATCTTTTACTTTCTAAATATGCATTCAACATAATTGTCAAATATTGCATAAATCTCTCCTCTTCACTCTCCGACGACGATTGAAATTACATAAAAAACATGGATCAAAATCCTTACTTACTATACTGTTTATTGTTCTTTCTTAAGTTGATTTCCTTTTTTTCTTTTCTACATTTTTTTCTCCGTACGCTAATTGTGTGCTCTTTTTATAGTGAAAGAAAAATTTCTCACCATTGGTGTCCCCCATTAAATTGGCTGGTGCTGCAAGTTGCTCAAGTTTAAGATAAAGTCTATCTGCTATCATGTGAAATGTGAAACGGGAATGCTAAATGATAATTCTACCGCTGTCGCTTCTAATTTCACGACGGCCAACGTCCATGTCAGCAATTTTCGGTCAAAATTAGCCGGATTGACTGAATTGGTACAAATAGAAAAGGTCTCAATTGGCAAAAAAAAATGTTTAATACTGAATTGGCACAAATGTAATAGATTTAGGACTTTTTTTTGGTAATTTTCCCCTCATTTGCCAATACTAACACTTCAAAATTACCACCATCACTATCGCATTGCCTCAGTTACTACATGTGATATATTTTCTAAGTAGAATAATATTGTAATTAAGTCCTTACCCACTTTATAATCTTGTCATCACTTGCAATGTCAGATACAGTCCTTACCATGTACTTTCTAATCTTGCGTCAAACACATTGATTAGGGTCTCCATCAATTTAGATCAACAATGAACTAAACATGTTGATTAGCTCAGCCACTAATTAATACTGCAAAGACATTTTTTATATCAACATAATATTTTTTATTTATTTTTTAAAATTAATATTTTATTTACTAAATGAAGGATAGGCGTCAGACACAACCTAATCCCACTAATTAATCTATTTCATCTAAATTCTATGTATAATATAACTATATTACGTATCATCTTATTTTATAACACAATCAAGTGCTAATGAAATTATTTTAATGATATTTAACTATCTCAATTCTCAGGCCATCGCACCAAAAACTCAAATTCCTTCATACCGTCGTCACATTTAAATTCTTTGCAAGTTCATACAATTACAATTCTGATCACTTTTGATCTTCTCAGAGGTAGTTTGGTAGTGCTTCCTTAATCGAGATCTGAATTAATTTTTGTCGGATGTTCGAATATGACCTGATCACTTTATAAATTAATTTTCGAAATCGAGTTTTGAATTAAATCAGGTTCGCCCGAGCACATGCACCCGAAAAAAATTATACATATCTATGTCCAATGAAAGTAACAGAAAATGAACAAATAATCAGGTGGCTGAAATATTTTGTAGTATATTCAACGAAAGTTGGCGGACATATTTTGTAGTCTATTCAACGAAAGTTTTGTATCTTCTGAAGATGCTAAGCGAATAAAATCACGGCCTCCCGTATGTTCTCGTTGTCTGTCGTCCTTTTTTCACAAAAATTTCCATGAATGACCAGTGGGTACAGTCTAATCTAAAAGAGCCATGATACCTAAGTTCAAAACTGTATTTTATTACTTCTCTTTTGCAAACCTAGTCAGTTATGATTCAAACTTCGAGAGACACTGGGGGCCAAGAGAGGGAAAAGTTATCGGATGCACAAGTGCATGCACCCAATAAATCGCAAGTACCTCACGGATTCATTGACCTAGGTGTATTTTCACGTGCAAGTAAATTCTTTATATCGCCCATAATAGGTTGTTGCAATAATTTTTGGAGAGAAATTTGAGATTGAAAAGTTCAGCAGGAGGAACAACTTTGGATTGTAAAGCATTAAAATGCATGCCCGTTAATAACCCAAGATTTGGCAAAGGCGTAAGATGGCTAGAATAAATTACCAGAAACGATAAATGAGAGCGATAAAGTTGAGTTGATGGAGAAGGTTAAAAGTATAATCCCGTTAAATCTTTCAGATGAAGTATTGATTGAAGTGGCCGAAAGGAAGGATGTCACAGCGTTGTGGGCAAAACTAGAGTCATTTATTTAATGAAGGGTTTGAACAATCACTTGTATATGCTAAAAAGGATATTTTAGTTCCGGATGATTGAAGGCGCATCCATAAGAGCCAACTTGTATGAGTTTAACAAACTCATGATGAATTTAAAGAACGTCAATGAGGCATTTCCTGATGAGAAACAATATATGATGTTGTTGGCATCCCTACCGGATCCTTTTGAGCACTTTAAGGATTCACTACTACTAGAGCGCACTACGATTACCTTGAAAGAGGTAAAGTCTGCCTTGTTTTTTAAGGAGTTACAAAAGAAGTTATGAGAAGATAACTTGGTGCAAAATACGGCGCAAAGTTTGGTTAATCGAGGTAAACACAAAGATGAGAGTCTAGAGGTATCAAATGGAAGAACCATTCTAAATCGAAGACCAATGTTCGGAAGCATCGATGTTATCATTGGGATGAGGTAGGGCACTACAGAAGAGATTATCCGAAATACAAGGGTAAAGGATTTAAGGCGGAGTCTGTAGGCAATGGTAATATTGTTACCATAGCAGATAATAATTCTAATGATGCCGGTGTTGTGTTAAAAGTCACCACGAGTTCATCAGGTGATGATTGGGTGCTCGACTCTGAATGTTATTATCATGTGACTTCTTATAGATATTGGTTTACTACATATCCGTGCATGGAGGGTGATGAGGTGCTTATGGGAAACGGCGTTGCTTGTGAAATAGTAGGGATCGGAATAGTTTGGATTAAGATGCACAATGAAGTGGTGCAAATGTTGAAAGATGTAAAGCATGTACTAAAGCTAAGAAAACCTTATCTTGTTGAGTGCTCTTGACAGATTCGGATACTGGATCTCCGCTAAAGGGGAGTTTTAAAGGTCATTCAAGGTGTACTTACTATGATGTAGGGGAAGTAGACTGCTGGTTGTATGACCCCCAAGAAACGACAGTAATTGGCTTGTCCGCTAGATTCTCTAAGTTTCATTTAAGACACAACAAAGTTGTGGCATATGAGACTTGGACACATAAGTGAGATAGACTCAATTAAGTGCTTTTTGACCCAAAAAAAAAGTGCTTTCTCATATGAGACTCGTATTTGGGTGCGGGTGCTAGGGTTACGTCAGGAAAGGAGGCTCCGATACTAAGTTAAGAATAATGAAGAAAAGTGAATTGGAGAATTTTCTGTATATTTCAATGTATGTTGAAGAAGAATACTTGAGACATTTAGGGCACGAATGATAATCTGTATATTTCCCTATTTTTCTATTTTTTTGTTCCCCGGAACAGGTTTGGAACAGAAATCCGTTTGGTAAAATAATTTCATTTTTTTTAATGTCTGGGACAAATTTTGGCCCAAAAATAGATTTAGAATAGAAATGAGAAGTTAAAATGTTTTACCCTTTTATTTCTATAACAGAAACAGAAATAACAACTCCCTTTTATTGCTCACATTTGCAGCCCACTTACCGCCGCCAGTCGCCCGCCTGCCGCCGCCGCCGCTCGCCCGCCGACCGCCGCCGCTCGCCGACCCGTCCTCCGCCGCTCACTATCCGCTGGCCGTCAGCTGCCACAGCCCGCAGTCACCATCGGCCACCCGCCGACCACCCACCGTCCGCCGCCGCCGCTTGCCAGCCATTCGTCGCCGCCCGCCGGCCATCCATCACCACCGCTTGCCAGCCGTTTGCCGCCGCCTTCTAGCCACCCGCCGGCTATCCGCCGCCGCTTGCCCATCCGCTGCTCTCCACCGCCGCTCGCTCGCTGGCCGTCTGCCCACCATCGCCGCTCCCGGCGAGAACAAAAATTTTGTATCTTTATCAAACAAAATTTTTATTCTGGGAACAGAAATTTCATGTCATTATCAAACACTACTTTTTGCTCAAAAACTCGTCCGGGAAAGAGAAATAGATTATTTTATTTCTAGCCAGAAATAGGGCCGGGGAAGAGAAATAATTTCATTCGCGCTTTAGGGTGCGTATGGTAACATTTTTGTTTCTCAGAACAATTTCTTTTCAAAAATAGTTTTTTCTATTTCCTGAATGAGTTTCTAAGAAGAAGAACGTGTTTGATAACTACACTAAATTTTTATTCTCAGAATAGAAAAGGAGCAGAATAGCGTTTGGTGCGACCCTAAAAAAAATTTGTGACATGAAATTTTTTTTAGTTTTTCAATAATTTTCTGAGATTTTTTTCTTTTTTTTTTCCTCCCTTCCTCTTCCTCCTCTAGCTAGTCGCCAAGCCTCGACAATGGTCAGCGAGGCTCCACCTCACAATGGCCGGGCGAGGTCGAGCCTCATTGGCCCTCATCTTTGGCCGGTCACAGACCATCGCCGAGGCCCGGCGACTGGCTAGAGAAGGAAGAAGAAGAAAGGAAAAAAAGAAAAGAAAATGACCTTGTTACAAAAATATTTCGCGGGAACCAAAACGTATATTTTTATTTACTTCTTATTTCTGTTCCAAATCTATTTCATTGCCATTTTTTCCCATGGAATAGAAAAATTAATTAACATACACAAACGGATTTCTGTTTTTTTTCTATTTCAGGACACAAAAGAACATAAAAACAAGGAAATAGATTACCAAGCGCGCCTTTATAGGCTTTACTTGATGACTATCAAAGACAACATATCAATCAAGATATGCATGTAATCTTGAGAGATACGCAAAATCAACAGAATTAACAAAATATCTCTAACATAGGAAATTATCCTAGAGAAATCTCTAATTTTTTCTAACACCATGGATGAGCTCAACCAAGGCGTTCGTGGTGCCAGAAGGTACTAGATTGAGTGGCGACCTCAATCTAGGCTCTTGAAAACCATGACAAGCTCGCCAAGGTGGTCAGGGGTTGCTTGGGGCATGAAGGAAACGAGAGACATAAAGCAGACGGTATGAGACAACTACAGTGACGCCCTAGCAAGCTTGTGTGGCTGCACGAGGACGATGACGATGTCGAAGGTAGCTCGGAGGTCGTCAATGTAGGCTGGTGGTGGTGGACGGTTGGGAGATAAGTACTTGTGGTGATTTGGTGTGTTAGAGTGTGGTTGATTTATAATTCGAATTGGTTCCTGGTCTTAGTCAGAGACCACTATTCGCGCCGTTTTTCAAGTTGGGGTAGTTCTGTCTTTTTAGTGGCCTAGGATGCAAGGAAGCATTTTTTAAAGGGTTAATACCACAAAAAACCTCAAATTGGTACACTTGTAATAAATTTATCCAAATTAATTTTTTGACCACGAAAAATCCCAAACGGATACACTTATGACAAATTTACCGCGAACTAATTTTTTGACTACAAAAAACTCAAACTGGTACATCCGTGACAAATTTACCCCAAACTAATTTTTTAACCACGAAAAACCCTAAACTGGTACACCCATGATAAATTTACCCAAAACTAATTTTTTGACCATAAAAAATCTCAAACTGGTACACATGTGACAAATTTACCCCAAATTGATAATTTTGTGACAAATTTACCATCTATTAACGGATCAATTTGGGGTTTTTCGTGGTATTTACCCTATGGATTTCCACATGGACTTGCCACGTCACCATGCCACGTCACCATACCACGTCACCATGTGTCATCCACATCAACAAATTTAACGGTAAAATTTGATGGAAGTTAACGGAGGGTAAATTTGTCATAGGTATACCAGTTTGGGGTAAATTTATCATAGGTGCACCAGTTTAGAGTCTTTTGTGATTAAAAAATTAGTTTGGGGTAAATTTGTCGTGGGTATACCAATTTGGGATTTTTCGTTGTCAAAAAATTAGTTTGAGGTAAATTTGTCACATGTGTACCAGTTTGGAGTTTTTCATGGTTAAAATATTAATTTTGGGTAAATTTGTCATAAGTGTACCAGTTTGGAGTTTTTCGTGGTATTAACCCTTTTTGAAATAAAGGATGTAAAGTGATAATAGAGCGAAAAGTGAGAAGAATATTTAATATATCCCCTTACGGTATTTTAGATGATTAGCAAATGACCAATGAATTATTTATGGGTTAATATCATGGAAAACTCCAAACTAATACACATGTGACAAATCTACTCCAAAGTAATTTTATGACCACTAAAAATCCAAACTGGTACACATGTGACAAATTTATCCTCCGTTAGTTTCTATTAAATTTTTTGTCAAATTACTGAATTGGATGATACGTGACAGTTGATGAGTGTATCAGTTTGGGGTTTTACTCTCCGTTTATCACAGATGTATTAATTTGTAATTTTTCATGGTATTAATCCAATTTAAAGGAAATTAATTGAGGGTAAATTTGTCACAAATATACTAGTTTGAGATTTTTGTTGGTCAAAATATTAGTTTATGGTAAATTTGTCACAAGTATAGCGACTTTGGTGTTTTTTGTAGTCAAAAAATTAGTTTAGGGTAAATTTTCACATGTGTACCAATTTGAAGTTTTTCGTGGTATTAATCCATTATTTATCTTTTATTGGAAGTCGAAATAAATTGTCAAATATTTCATAAATCTCTCCTCTTTCCTTTCCTATGACAATTGAAATTACATTAAAAATTGGATTAAAATCTTTTAATATCATTTTATTTATTGTTCTTTCTCAATTATTTTTTTTAATATTTCTCTTCGTACGCAATTTGTATGCGCTTTTTCTAATGAAGGCAAAACTTCTCACCAACAATGTCCCTCGTAAAATTAGCTCGGATTGCAATTGCTAAAGTGTTAAATAAAATCTATATGCTATCATGTCAAACGTGAATGCTAAATAATGATTATAACATCTCATTTGCCACTAATAACAATTCAAAATCACCAGCATCACTGTCGCACAGCCTCTGTTACAACCATCGCCATTGTAATATGATGCACTTCCTAAAGAGAATAGTTTTGTAATTACCTTTGTTTTAATTCAACTTGTTGATTGATCTCTCTGGTAGTCTGTTGTTTATTTAAGCTTCATTTGTTCATGAAAAATGAATAATTTGAACAATACTTTCCTAAAAATTATCATTTATATTGCTTATAAAAATGAATGAATAAAAAAAATTTCATCGTTCACGAAAGCGTTTAGATATAAATTACTGTCAACAATGAAAATATTTTTCATTAGCTAATTATTTCAAACAATACAAATTATCATTTTTAAAAAAATATTTTCCCAATCATTTATTTTCGGAGAGTTTCAAGTAAAATTCCCCCATATCAGTGTAGACGTGGTCACTCTCTACTCATCTCCATATCGTCATTTATAGTCCTCTTGGCCCCATTTACATTTGAATCGTCAGACATATTGATCAGGTCACCACTAATTTACGCCAATAATAAACTAACCATGCTGATTAGCTCAGCATTAATTTAGGTCAACAACGAATTAATCTTGCAAAGAAGCCCTGGACATGTGACGCGGAAGCGAAGATACCCATGTGTGTCTTTTGAACAAGGATAAGGTCAGGAACAATGATTAATTTACGAAAACGATTTTAAAATAACTCTTGTTGGACTTTTGCTGACATATCTTGCAGTCTATTCCGCGAAAGTTTTGTACCTTCTGAAGACGATCAGCGAATAAAATCTCTTGCTTTCATATGCTCTCGTTGTCTGTCGTCTTTTATCACACTATTTTTCTTTTTTTGTCGTCCTTTTGGCCCTCCATCATCGTCTTTTTATTCGTTCACCAACCAAATGCCAATAAATAGAAGTAACAGAAAAAAATAAATCAGAAGACAACAAGTGGTCGATTGAAAAGTATCGTTGAGTGCATCCTCCCTGTGTTAGAATTACTTATGACATTTCCTTTAATTCTCTATATATCTCGGAATTTTACATATATCTCTATTAATTGTGCATTATCCCTAATTGATTATAATTAGGATTATAATTATCTTTGTTACTTTAGGAAGTCTAGGCTTCGTATGCTCGACTTTTCACTGAGGATATAAAGATGGTAAATGTCACTAGTAAAAATTTCAGTTGAAATTACTAACCGTGTGGTGCATGGAAAAGCCGGAAGGTATTTTCGTGTCCGTGGCTCCCAGAATGCACTTATGTTTCTTTTAATTCTACTCATTGATCGTTCTCTTTTGTAGTTGACTGTAGGGGTGAGCATGGGTCCAGGGTAGAACTGGAAATCGGACCAAGCCAGCCATAGGAACAGATCTGGTTCCTGGTTCCCGCGCCTGATTCCAAAAAAAGTAGAACCAGTACCGTGTTGTTCGGTTCAGTTTCCGGTTCCCGGTAAGAACCGAACCAGGAATTGAGTGCTAATTGGGGACAGGTTGCAAAATCATGAACTATTCTAAATTAGTCGACTGATCCATAAATCGCAAGTTCATGGCCTCTTATTTATGCGGCTCAATCATTGATAATCACAGATCTACGAGCAAATGAAGTTATAAATCATTACAAGTAAAGTGCCCGCTCATCCATTCAGTGACTATAATTGCAAAGACTTGAAAGCCTAGTATTCACCAACAGTTTAGAACCCGGATGACTTTGCAAGCTCCAGAGTACAAATCAAAGCCAAGCTAAGAAGATGAGCAGAATGCCATCCTTGACACTTTAAACAAAAGAAAAACCATTTAGATTCTTGTGCTACCCCCTCCAAGAAGAAAATAAAAATAATGAGTACCCTAACGGCAGTTATGTGTTTTGAGCTTTTTGTTAATTATTTTATATTACGTGTTCATCTTTTATGAATTGTTGCTATTGACAAATGTGGATTTTTGTTGTTGCGTTCACTTTCATTTTGCTTAAC